CTACGTCACCTAACCATCTTGGTGGAGTTCAGCATGCTTGCTCTGGAGGTGCCTGACAGCTGGATCCAGTCCACCCAGTTGTGGCCTGTCTTAAATACCAGGCAAGTTCCCCGCCTTGTTCACCATCCTAATAAACATCATGTTTTCTGGAAGAAATTACTTCAGCTCTCTGAAGATGCAGGGGAGTCGTGAAAAACTTGAACAAGGCTCTTACTTTCTTCAGAGCTCTGGAGAGGGAAGGTTTCCAGCTCCTTGACTAGCAGCTCCCTTGGTGAGATGAGATTTGGCACTTTCTCCTCCTCTTTCTGATGAGAAGCAGCCAAGCAGGAACCAGCCTGTTTCTGCTTGTGCATCAGAGATGTGTTCACACAGACACACGCACTCACACTTGCACACTCAGGCATGACTTCCCCTCCCCCAGCTCCTCCTGGCACCTTCTCCATACGTGGCAAATGAATAAAGTGAAAAACTGCTGCTGCTGCAGCCAAAATAATAAGGCAAGAGAATGGAGGGGGAAGGAGCAGCAAGAACAGAAGCAATGAAGGCATGGCGAGCCTATGAAATCAGGCCAGGCAAGGGGATGGAGTGGAGCTAACCTGGTCAGATTAATAATTTTGGCTCCCAGCACAGCAACGTGCCTGTGCAGGGGGCTCAGTGGACACACCAGAGGAAGGTAAAAAACTTCACCCTGGAACAGCACAGTCCTGAGAGGGACAGTGGGTTTGCCATACCCAGTCACCACCACTGCAACACATCCCATTTTTGGCCATGTTACCCCAAAGCCACCCCATCAGTGATGCTTTCTGTACAGCTCCTTGTTGGCCAGCCCCATGGTCACATCCACACCACAGCCCAGCTCTGTCAGGTGGCCAAGGCCCTGCTGGGGTCAGCGGGACTTCCAAGTATCTCATGGCTAGCACCCATCAACCTGTCCCATAATTGCCTGCTCCCACCCAGATGGAGAAACCAATTGGTTTGAATGGGAGCACATGCCTCAGTGAGCCTCTGGCTTTCTGCATGACTACCTTTCACCTGGAAATGGGTTGTGGCAGCTATTTTAGGTCAGAAGGGGCCTGATGCCAGGGTGTAGACAGGGCCGGTGGCTCAGCCAGGCTGAGAGTGGGGCACCAGGGGTGACACAAGGTGGGACAGTCCACAGCCCCCACACAAGCAGGGCAGGGCCCTCGACTATAGCCAGGGGCAGCCAAGGCTCTGGGTCTCCAAAGTCTAAAGCTTCAGCCATCAAATCATTAGTCGTGTGTCTCAGGAAACTGAAATATGGCAAATTCAATTTCTGGCTCTGGCTGAGCAGCCAGGCAGCCATCTTCGGTGCTCCTCACTGGGGAAGAAGCAGCCAAGACAGCAGCATTGGAATGACAACATGCAGCAGTGACAGCTGGGACAGCCCAGTGTAGATGCCTTCAAAAGAAATCCACCTCCATTTCTTTCACAAGCAGGTCTAGTCAAGGAAACACAAAAGTCACAGTTGGGAGGGACCTCAGGAGACCTTTTGTCCAGCCACTTGCTCAAGTAGAACTGCCACTAAGACTAGACCAGATCAGCTACGGCTTTGCCTGTGCAAGTCCTGCAAACCTCCAAGGACAGAGACTCCACAGCCTTTCTGGACAAATCCTTCCAGCACTGTACTCCCTCCTCATGATTTTTTTCTTAATGTCCATCCCAAACCTCCCTAGCTACAGTTTTTGGATATTGCTCCTTGTTTTACCTTCCATCTTTACAAAAGAGAGTTTATCTCCACTGCCTTTGTAACTGTCCTTGCAGTAGTTGTAGGTTACTATTACTTCCCCTCCATGCCTCCTCTTAAAAACAAGCCCCAGTCCCTCAATCCCAGGCCCCTAGCCATTTTAGTAACTCTCCACTGACTCTTCTCCAGTTTCTCAACATCCTTTGGGAACTAGAACAGTATTCCAGGAGTGTCTCACCAGTGCAAAGTAAAAGAAGCAATAACTCCCTCTGATCTGCTGTCTCTACTCCTCCTACTGCAGTCCAGTATGCAGTTTGCATTATTTGCAATAAGAGCACACCATTGACTCATACTCTTTTTCATCTCCGTGAACTTCTGAACTTCTCTTTGTTACTAGCATACTTCTTCCTACCCTTTATGTCCCTAGCTAGTTTTACCTTCAAAGGGACTCTGACTTTCCTGATTTTCTTCCTAGTTCCCCAAGCAGTTCTTTTACGTTCTTCATGTGCTGCCTGTCCTTGTTTCCACATCTTTGCACTTCCTTTTGGCAGTTTGGTTCACTGAGAAGCTCCTCGCTTAGGTAAGCAGGTCTTCTCCTGAAATTCCTGATCTGACTGCCCAACAGAACAGTTTGTTCCTCAGCTCTCAGTGTTTTCTTTAAAAATTAGCCAGCTTCTGGGCACCCTTTTCCTTTGTGACAGCGTCCAAAGCAACTCTTCCTAGCAATTCCCTAAACAAGCCCACATCTGCTCTCCTGAAGTAGAGAGTCCTAATTCTCCAGTTTGCCTGCCCAGTCTTCCTCCAGAGCCTGAACTCAGTCACCTCAGGATGAGGAGGTAGCCCTGTGGTCTCAGCTGTCAGCTCACACACCATTAATGAGATTTCTTTCCTGTTACCATTACTCATGGTATTTAGATGCAGACCTGCATTAATGTGTGGCATTTTGGTGCTAAGAGGTGCCTTTCTGGGCACTTCTCAATACACACTCACAAGTGGTTGTGTAATGTTTTACACCACCAGTGTACCAAACAAAGCCTAAGCAGAGGTGTAACACTATCAGCTCCTACAAAATGTTAAAGGTTGGGCAAGAAAACAAACTATCATTACAAAGGGTTTGAATAAAGGCGCTTCAACACTCTTTGCGAGGGTACTTGATGGGGTCAGGGCCTGGGGACAACAGCAGCTCTGATCTTCCCAAAGTTTGAAGGGGGAATAAAGTCCCAGCATATTTTTCTCACTTGACTTCTCTGCCCCAGGAGGAAGAGGCATTTACATTACAGTGTGAGCAGTTTTGCACCTTTCCTTTTGCTAACTGGTTATCACATCCAGTCCTTGAGGACCTCACTGATGGTTTCTGCTATAAGAGGGCTCCTGTTTAGGGCTACTCTGGCTCAGAAGCCAGGGCCTGCATGGTCTCCTCCAACTGATTTTTAAGTCAGCCCGGCTTGTCCCTCCTCAGCCTTCTCCTTGCAAATCAGAACAGTGGTGACTGAGTACAACCGCAGTGTCCTCCCATAGGGCTGCATCATCTTTGCTGTCTTCCCTGTCAGGGATCACTATTCCTGTAACTGCTTCCACCTGCTTTTATGCCAGAGTAAATCTGGTCCATAATTAACCTATTTTCTGTTATGTAACTAGCTACACCCATGAACGAGAAATAAGTTGGGTTTCACCTAGACCTCCTGCTGAAGAGCTTGGCCTCAAACTACTCTTGCAGATCTCCAGAAAAAGAGCTTTGGCAGTGGCACACTCCAAGAGGCAGTTCCTGTCCCTAGCTCACAAGGTGCTGCTGTTGGGGCCCCAACCTGCACTTAGAAACCCAACTCTGCAAGCCTTTGCTATCAATTGACCTAAATATCTACTGGCATTTGCTAAGGGAGGTGACTAAACCCAAGGGGCTGCAGCTGACAGCTGTTCACCCTGGAGACTAATTGTTGGGGACAGCATGCGTGGAAGTCCATGAGACTTTCCCACAGACATCCACTGCAACATAAATGGAAAGAGAAGGGAGGTAATGAGAGGTGTCAGAAGACAGGCAGCCTTCTGCCTGCCCCGGGAAAAGGTATCTGCTGAGATGATGGCATTGCCCAGGGCAGGGGGAGGCAGCTTCTTTCAAGAAACCTTCCAAATGGTGTTGAGCAGGCTGGCCCCGTGAGCCTGCCTCAAGGTGGGGAGTTACATGTCTGAGCACCAGGCACAGCCATGTCCACTTTTCCTTTCATGCTTATTAAACCAGTGGGTGCTTGATTTCACCAGGTAAAAGAAGAGTCTGGGAGCACCGAGCCTCCCTCCACTTGTCCTTGTAAGAATTGAGGATTCAAATCTCCTCCAAAAGGGGCTCGCACCCTGTTGTAAACGGATTGGGAGAGGCATCCCTTCCCTTCTGAAAAGCATGGCACTTCATCTTGTCAAGGTTTGGAAGAAAGGTTTTGGCACCTAAGCTCAAGGGGAAGAGGAAGGTAAGGGCAGTGAATCCTGAGTTCAGGCTCATCCTTCCCTGTGTGAGAGCCTTAAATCTTGATGGTGGGCAGGATCCAGTCCCAAGAGCTATCTCACATGTTTCATGGCCACCTTTGGGAGGTCCCTGTTAGGCACACTTGTGCTGGGGATCCTGCTTGGGGGCCCCTCTTTCCCTGCATGACTCTGGGAATGCATGGGGAGTCCTATAAGAGGCAGAGTGCCAGCCTTGGTGGCAGCTGATGGTGAAGCTCCATGGCCTGGCACCAAGACTCTCCATAGCTTCCCAGCTGGAGGCATGGATGGAGTGAAGGGGCTGTTGGTGCTGCACCTTCAACCAAGTGAGCATAGCCTGTCTCCAGCAAGGCAAAGTAAATGCTGTTCTACTCAGCCTGCTGGGGTCTGCTCCCTGTGCCCCATACAACCCCAATACAACACCACACAACCTGAACATAACCCCACACAACACGTGGCCTGCTCAGAGGGTCAGTGATCCACGCTGGACCCCACAGAGGCAACTGCCCCCTACACAGGAGCTGCCATCCAGACTGTGCCAGCACAAAAGAAGGTGAGCAAGAAAAAAAGAGAACTGTAAAGAATCGCTGTGAGTTCAGGATGTGGGACTTCAGCTTCTCCATTCATCTTGAGAATGGGAGCAGGGTCTTTGTGGTATTTTGTGCCTCATTCACATTTCATCCTGTTTTTTTGACAGTGAGATAGGAGCATCATGTTCACCAACAATACTTGTTCACTGTGATGGAGTCATGTGAGCATGTTCATCATATAGCTCTGGGGACTCTGTGTTTTCCACACAGGACACCAAGCTCAGACCAGCTCAGATAACTTGTCAGGTAAGATGCCACATCTCTTTTTGTATTCATCAGTCAGCTGAGCCTGCACCAGCACCTCAAGGCCTTGAGTTGGGGTTCTGCATTGCTTCCAGGACTGCAGGGAACCAGTTTTCTCTTTCAGAGGCAGCCTTTTTAAGCCTGATGACCATCTGGGGACTGAAATTTCACCATTTTTTCCCATGCTAGGCCTGATACCTGTACTGAATTTCAGCAGTCCTTCTGGAGTTCCACCAGCACAGCTCACTTTCACTCCCGTGCTGAGCCCTAATACTGATGGGATGCAAGAAAGGACTTGTGTCCCTTGGCTCTCAGATAGATTTCTGGAGATGTAGTTTCATTCTTGTCTTTGCTGCACAACATTAAGCAAATGATCTGCAGGCAGGTTTTTCAAGCACCCAGCATTCACCGGCAAAGCTTGGTGTTCAAGGCATGCAGGTCTTGCTAATGCACCATGATCGAGGGGCAGGTTTTCATGGGAGATTTTAGATATTTTTTGTCTGCCAGCCAGGGAACTGTTGTCTTAAAGCAGTCTGGCTCTCTGCTCTGCCCAAATGGAAATTACACTCTTCTTGCTCTGAGCTTGGCATTCCTTATGCCTCAATTCTCCATCAGTGAAGCTCCACCACAAATTCTTCGCTGGGGTATTTTAAAGAGGAAAAACATCAGCTTTTGCAACAGTGATCCTTGTGAACTAATGCTAGGGAACATCATGGGCACTGGAACTGTGTGGTCACTGCCATCAAACTGCTTGAATGCTCCCCGTCACACAAAAAACATTCCAGGTGTAGTTCAGGACCAATGACAGGCCAGGGACCTTTCCTGACAAGGTGTCCTGTCCTGGAGGCTGAGAGAGTTCAGTGGGTGGAAGGTGGGTTGGCCTCAGTGCCTGAGATTGGTTTGAAGTGTCTCTGACATACCCACATAAATGTCACCCCAGATTCTACAGTACAGGAGAACCAGAGAAAATAAAATACATAATATAAGCAGTGCTATTTGAGAGGCTGGTTTTTAATTTATTTCACCAATGGGTTAAGAAGTCATATGGTTAATCCTATACATAAACATGTACACATCACACTTAGAATATGAAATAATACCGAGTCAAAAATACAAGTTTAGACTTTCTTGGTTTGGATGTTACTCTCAAGCTTTTCTGAATGTAATTGTTATTTGTAAGTGTTCTCAAACACTTCAGAAAAAAACATTTTTATGCTGTGGGCTGTCTGCAAATGTTCATTTTGACAAGTTGCTGTCTGTTAATGGTATTGGACTAGTCACACAGTGTATCTTATGTTCCCTAACTGGATGACAAGCTTGTAAAACAGAAGAATAGCAAGTGACAGATACTAACATGATTTCTGGTTATTTTTTATAGTTTCTGATTTCATGGGCACTGGAAGCTGTATGAATATCATGAACAGGATATGAGGAATGAGGTGGTTATTGGAAAATATGCCAGCAGTGGCTAACCTTGTCAGAAAATGAAAGGCTTAATGATGAATCAGGTAGCTTACCTTCATACAATTAGCATTCCGTTGCTGAGATGTACAAAGAAAGGTTTATAGGAAATAATGGATAGGACACATTAAGGATTGATATATGAAATACTTGTCTAAAAACTCCTGGCACATCAGAGAAAATGTTTCACAGATGTTTCACTCATATTAAAACACAGGGGAGAAAAAAGGGAAATATCCTTAAAGCTCAAGCAACCACCTAGCAGTCCAGAGGCTAATAATATTCTCACCCTCTTAAGATGTTCTCCATACCATTCTCCACTCTAATGAATTCAACATAGTTTCAGGCTAGAACAACAATCACACAGAAGCATCTTGTTCTCAGGAAATTCTACCTTACATGTACACAGCAAGCACCTGGTGTCCCAATTAATTCTTTCACAGAACTGCAATAATTAACCATCTGATTCCTGAATTACAGCTCACTGCAAATTACTAGTCTAACAAACAAACATATGCCATCCATCAACCAAACAAGCTAGTTAAAATAACTTGAAGAGTACAAAGAGCTCAGAAATTTAACTGCTTATAAAAAAAAAAAATTTCTGAGTAAAAATTAAGCTTAAAATACCAATGTTTAGCTAAAAGGATTATGATTTGTTCCAAAGAGAAACTGCAGTATGGGGTACATGGCTTTGGTAGCACTCTGTAGCCACAAGAGGAGCCAAGAAATTTGGCAGGGTATATAAAAGATGGTAGGATATTCCTCTGGAGCATCCTTTGCGGTTATTCATAGACTGGTTTGGGTTGGAAGGGACCTTAAAGACCATCTAGTTCCAGCCCCCCCACCATGGGCAGGGACACCTTCCACTACACCAGGTTGCTCCCAGCCCCGGCCAGCCTGGCCTTGAACCCTTCCAGGGAGGGGGCAGCCACAGCTGCTCTGGGCACCCTGTGCCAGTGTCTCACCACCCTCACAGGAAAGAATTTCTTCCTCATATCTAATCTAAATCTCCCCTCTTTCAGTTTAAAACCGTGACCCCTCACTCTATCCCTATACTCCCTGATAAAGAGTCCCTCCTCACCTTTCCTGTAGCCCCCTTTAAGTACCAGAAGGACACTATAAGATCTCCCCCTGAGCCTTCTCTTCTCCAGGCTGAACAGCCCCAACTCTCTCAGCCTGGCCTCATAGGGGAGGTGCTCCAGTCCCCCCAGTCATCTTCGTGACCTCCTCTGGACCTGCTTGAGCAGGTCTAAGTCCTTGTGCTGGGGGCCCGAGAGCTGGACACAGCACAGCAGGAGGGGTCTCACTAACACAGAGTAGAGGGGGAGAATCCCCTCCCTCAACCTGCTGGCCACATTTCTCTTGATGCAGCCCAGGACACTGTTGGCTTTCTGGGCTGTGAGCGCACATTGCTGGATCATAGTCAGTTTTCCATCCACTGATACCCCCAAGTCCTTCTCCACAGGGCTGCTCTCAATCCATTCTTTGCCCAGCCTGCATTTGTGCTGGGGATTGCCTTGACCCATGTGCAGGACAATGCCCTTGGCCTTGTTGAACCTGATGAAGTTTGTACAGGCCCACCTCTCAAGCCTATCAAGGTCCCCCTGAACAGCATCCCTTCCTTCCAGTGTGTCAACCTCACCATACAGCTTGGTGTCATTTCCCAAAATCAGTTTATTCTGTTCAAAACTACAGGTTCCAACTTGCCAGAATTATGGAAAGGGATTTGGAAGGTGAAACATGACCTTCAAGTCAACATATGAGTGTGTCCAAGTTGAGAGTTGGATGCTAAAGGAAAATATTTATTTCAGTTAATTTTTCCTTAAATCTTCTTAAAAAGAAAATAGGCCTCCTTAACAGGTTTTGGACTATGGCATCAGCACAAAGTGATGTGAACCTCTGGTTGGTATCAGCTGGTCCAAAAGGTATAATGACGTGCACATGCCCTTATAACCTATATGGTAGTAACAGATTTGGCCTGAATTAGGAGATCGGAATAAGAAAACTATTACCACAGTTGAAAGGCAATATCCATACTATCCACACAGAATAAGAAGCATTCTTCCCACTATCCATGCAACCGGGTTTCCTGGAACTCAGACTTTATGTCTTTTAGTGGTTTACAGGAGATGAAGATCAAGTATGAATATCCACAGATGACAAAAAGCTATCGAAATAAGTAAATCTGTGACCATAGTGGTCAAGAGCTTTGAAGAACCTAAAACACTCTAGCTGAAGGACAACACAAGGCACAGGAAACGCAATGCAGATAAATGCAAGAAAGTACCAGCTAAAAGGAAAAAAATCAGTGGCTGCTACACATTGCAGAGTCCTAAATGAATCCATTGACTCTGTAAAGACATGTGGGCATAATGCTAGCTTTAGGCAGGGGCCATATAAGTAGCACATAAATGAAAAGAGAAAGTCTGCATACAAACAGAACATGGTTCACATACCACATCTCCCCTGCCAGCCCCACTGAGTGTGATGGGAACCAAGATGTAGAAAGTGCCATGAGCCCAGCGGCAAGGCCACTCTCCCTCTACTTGGCAGACAAACAGCAATGTAGAAAGGACTTATGAGGCCCCAGTAAAGAGCAGGTCTGTCCTGTAAATGCTTTCAGTTTGACAAACACTTCTACAGGCAGCTCTCAAAGATGAACAGCACAGGCTTATTGAAGTGAAGGGATTCAAATTTGTATATAAATTGTGAACAGAAGTCAAATGAAAAAAGAAGTTCTCCAAGGAACTATTTCAGCCTCAGTACTACCATTAAATTAAAATCTCATTAATCACTGTGCCAACCATCCAGGTTTAAAGGCAGAATGACCCATTTCTGTTAGGGGGTAGTAACTGAGGAACTGCAAGTGTCATACCCTCTCTGCAAAGGAAAGACAGAAAAGCCTGAAAAGTACAAAATTTACCTAAGGTATGGTGGTTCTAGACCTCATTCCAGCAACCAGTGCTACCTTTATCACCCACCTCACATACTCAGCAGGGAAGGACAGAGATGTTATTCCTCCCTTGCCACCGCCACAGACAAGGTGGAGTCAAACACGGGTCAGCTGAGGCAGAATTCACCTAACACCAGTCCTGAAGAAGCTGGGCGGCTGCTGTGTGTCGGCTGTCTCCATCTCCTCTGCAATCAATGGAGAGAGATAGGCACTCTCATGGGTGACTCACCACCGCCTAAGTGAGGTGTCTAGAGTAGGTGGGATGACTCATCCTTGGGGTGGTCCTCTCCACGGATGTTCATAGGATCCTAGATCATAGCATAAATTATATGCCTGCCTTTCAGATGGGAGGCAAAATTAATTCCTGTCTTGCATGACAAGACATTACTTTCTCTGTTTTCTTGCACATACTTATGACCTAGGAGTTTTGGAGAAATCCACAACCTTGTCTGGGACCTCATGCACTTAGTTAAGGTATGCAGCAGGCTAAAACTATAAAACGGTTTACACAATGTTAGACAATTCATGCTTCAATTATATTACATCTCAGGCCCTTTCTTTTGTGTGGTGGCAGTATCATAAAAGC